TTTACATGTCAAATTTTATATCCATGTAATGTCCACTTTATGAGTTTTTAGGAAGGAATTGGAAGCCATGAGTTACTGAACATTGCATCAGTATCTCATAGCCTCCAATTCCTTCAAAAAATGGGAGAAACTTTGTCCGAATAGTTTAACATTCGGACAAAGTTTCTCCCATTTTAAGAAGGAATTGGAGGGTAAGAGATATACCATATGAATGTATATCTCTTACCCTCCAATTCCTTCTAGAAAGTGTCCAAACTTTGGGTTAATTGCAAAGTATTAACCCAAAGTTTGGACACTTTCAAGTGGAGATGGAAGGCTTTGGGGTATATATTAATACAATATACCTCAAAGCCTTCCATCTCCACTACAAATGTGAGAAACTTTGTCCGAATAGTTTAACATTCGGACAAAGTTTCTCCCATCTTTCAATGTAATTGCTACCTGTGAGGTACTGACTTGAAGTCAGTGCTTCACAGGTAGCAATATCCAAAAATTTAAAAACATTTTATCAGTTCGTTAGAGAACTAGAGCCTCCTAGGTACTGAACCAGAATCAGTGACTAGGGGACTCTAGTGATCTATATAAATCTGAGAAACTTTGAGGAAATTGTTCGACATTTCCTCAAAGTTTCTCAGCAATTTAGCGAGGAATGTTCGTTATCGTGTAGATATTTATAATATATACATGATAACAAACATTCCCCGCTAAAAGATGTAAAATCTTATAAGAAATAATTGCAAAAGAATAACAAATTGCAACAAATTTTATATGAAACTGAACCTTATGAGGTAGTGATTCAAGATCACCGCCTCATAAGATTCAGTTTCAATCTCAAGTATCTCAAAAGTAAGGCTCTATTTTTTGCCATGTAAAGTGTCACTTTTCCTGTCCAAATGATAAGTTATTCAGAGAAAGTTTCCCAGCCATCAAGAGGGAATTGTTCCTTATGAGGTATATATTCATATTGTATACCTCATAAGGAACAATTCCCTCCTTAAAACGAGAAAACTTGTTCGAAATTGTTTATCATTTCGAACAAGTTTTCTCGTTTTTAATAAGAAACTAAAGGCTATGAGGCACTGATTATATATTAGTGCCTCACAGCCTTTAGTTTCTAATAGATAGCTGGGAAACTTTCTCCAAATGATAAGTTATTCAGAGAAAGTTTCCCAGCTATCAAGAGGGAATTGTTCCTTATGAGGTATATAGTTATAATGTATACCTCATAAGGAACAATTCCCTCATTAAAATCGTAGATATTTTTTACTTATTACTCATGCTTTCAAAATCACAATCCTCTGAAAAGTTATTTTTTATTAAGAATTTAGAATTTTGATAAATACCTTTTTTCAATTTGATATAATACTTATATATTTTCAAAAAGACATTTTGAAAAGATATCTCAAAAGTTCTCTGAAAACCTATTTTTGATTAATTTTGAGAAATATCCGTATTAAATTAATCACTAAATTCATTCAACACTACTTTAATTTTTAAATTCAAAAAATTATATGTGCTTCTTAAAATGTCTCACAAAAATTTTATTATAAAATTATATACAATATTAAAAATCCCACAACATTTTTTACTTTACATAATCGTACTTCCTCGACGATTAATTTCCCCTCAATTCCTATCGTTGACCGAACTTAGCATGCAACAATATAATGCTTATCTATCATAAAACCATATGAAATATCAATTTTTGCTTTACGCCTAATTTTTGACGACAATTAGCAAAAAATGTTAAATGTTAACACTCAGTCCATTTGAATATGAAAAATAAAATTGACTTTGATTAAATGTTTTTATTTATCATGCAATTCTTCTTGCGACCAAAGATTTGAATAAAATTTCAAAAAATAAGATAGCTTAAAAAATAATATACGGTAGTGTTTACTAATAGATGAATAGTATATAAATTCTATTAAAATGGATTTGATCCAAAAAAAATATAAAACCAAAAATAATTGTTATAATTTAAATGAAGAAGTAATTTAAAACGATTTTATTTATGATCAAATTTTATATATTTTTTGGATCAAATCCATTTTAATAGAATTTATATACTATTCATCTATTAGTAAACACTACCGTATATTATTTTTTAAGCTATCTTATTTTTTGAAATTTTATTCAAATCTTTGGTCGCAAGAAGAATTGCATGATAAATAAAAACATTTAATCAAAGTCAATTTTATTTTTCATATTCAAATGGACTGAGTGTTAACATTTAACATTTTTTGCTAATTGTCGTCAAAAATTAGGCGTAAAGCAAAAATTGATATTTCATATGGTTTTATGATAGATAAGCATTATATTCCCACTCATTATATTCGTAAATTTTGAGGTTTATCATTCGCTTTTAAGATCATTGAATTTGATTTTTATATAAAATAGTTATATATTAGAAAATAATATGAGTTTATGTGATATTATTTTTCAGAAGATTTTGTGTTCTTCTTCAAAATTTTATTTTTTTATTAAAAAGAATCTTTACAAAATATACATTTACTTTAATTAATATTTAAAAACGTGCTCTATCAAAAGTTCCAAAAATTCAATATTTTAGCTTTTCTGAGGTGTCACTTTTGATGAATTTCTGTTTACAACATTTCAAGCAAAATCACTTATTTTCATCTAAACGTATAAAATTGTTAATTTTATGAAAATAAATTGAAAATCTCATGAAATGTAAAGGAGAGTAATATTTTTCAATTTTCTTTTTTTCTTTGTCTCAAATATTTTCTGTTGGGAATTTTCTTGTTATCAAAAAATAATTTTAATATTTGTTTATTTCATTACATACAATAAAATTTTAAAAACTCTATTTCTTCACAAGAAAATTTTTTCCTTCATATGAAGAAACATTTTTTTCTCCATTTGATACTGAGTCTAAATCTCCATTTTTGAATTTTCTTCTTTCCAAATTTCTTTTTTCCAAATTAGAAGTTTAATTCAAATTTTCAATAGTTTATATATTTTCTCAAACCGTCTCAGATTTTCTCACTTTTTAGGGATTTTCTCTCAAAATATACAAAAATAGTAATATCAATACATGTGTCTAATATACTTTAAAACCATCGTGACAAAATTCAAAAACGAAGAGTTCTTCTCTCCAAATTTTTTTCAAAATCAAAAAAATGAGATAAAAAAGTACGTTTGGAAAATTCATTTTTAGCATTTTAGGAATTTTCTCACTTTTCTTCCAAATTGACATCCTTAATCAAAAGTTTTATTTTTATATATAAAGATAACTACTTTTTTTAAAAATACCCTATATATTTTTGCCATGTAAACTATTTTTGTCATGTAAACTTCTCACTTTTTGTCAGAAGTGAGTGAACCGAATTTTCATGCACAACAGATGCAGATACTGATTATTATGGTTTGAAAAAATATTTATTAGAAAATCCTAATATTAATACCTTAATTATTAAATCTCCGACAGTACTTTCTATTAGCGACTGCCAAATATCAACAGTTAAAGTACAAGGGGAAGCTTCGGCAATACCAACAGGTTTTCTTTCTAATAATCTATTTATTAAAACAGTAGAACTCTCCAATAATATTATATCCATTGGCGCGAATGCATTTTCGTATTCTTCCCTTCAAAAAATAACATTCCCAGGCGATATCTCAATTTTAGGGGAAAACATTTTTAAACAATGTATTTCATTGGAAGAGATCAGTATAAAGACAAGTAAAATATCAAATAGTTTCGCATCAGGTTGTTCTAACCTTACAAAAGTTACAATTTCTGGTACTGATATTGAATTAGGTTCCAATGCTTTTGACTTTTGTTACAAGCTCAAGTCATTCGACTTTTCAAAAGTTAAATCAATTGGTGCTAGTGCTTTTGCTTATAGCGGAATTGAATCTGCATTTTTCCCTAAAACTTTTGTTGAAGCTAGTGATAAAGCCTTCGAATATTCTAAACTCAACTCAATTTCATTTGCAGGTGAAAACTATACCATTGGTCAATACTGCTTCCAAGGAACATTATTAACAAGTGTCTCAATATCAAAAGCTAAAACAATTGAGAATAATATATTTGCGTCCTGCCAACTTTTAGAAACAGTAACAACAGATTCAAAAACCATTCCTTCATCATTCTGCATTTATTACCCCAAACTTGCAACAGTTACAGCTTCAAATGCTATAGAAGTTAATAACAATGCATTTTATAACTGTATTTCATTAAAGACAATTTCATTATCAGGAAAAGCAGATAAAATAACAATTGGAAATGGTGCATTTAAGTTCTGTGAATCATTAGAATTTTCATTTTCAAGTTCAATTCCATACATACTAGGATCATATTCGTTTGCATACTGTGATAAAATAACAACAGTTTCATTACACAGAAACTCTACAGTGGGTAGTTATTGTTTCATTGGATGCAATGGTATCACATCACTAACAATTGATTGGGAACTATCTAATGATGGTATTTTTATGGGATGTGAAAACTTAAAAGAAGTAATCTATCAATATAAACCAAATGACGATGAATATGAAATCATTACAATCCCTGACTACACATTTTGCAACTGCTCATCATTAACATAATTTGAGGATAAAGTTGATAGCGATACAGCTGGAAGTTATGCATTCGCAAGCACGAGCATTAAAGAAATAGTTTTCAACAAAACTTATATAAGTCAATTTACTTTTGCAGATAGTTCATTGAGAAAAATTACAGTAGCAAATACCGCATCTAAGGCATTTATTAATTCCGATATATCAACAATTATATTTTCTAAAGAAGCCAGTAAAGGTTCAATTGATCCAACTGATCTTGACGGTTTGGATTTGGATGAAATATCGGTTGTTGACAATCATCCCAATCTAACAATTTCTGATGGTTTATTAGTTTCCGATAAAGTTGATTTCATATTAATAACACCACAATTTGATAAAAAAGAACTTACATTACCAGATTTTGAAACAGCACAAATAAAAATTTAAGAAAATTAACAATATCTAAAATAGAAGCAATGTTCTCACCACGATACTCTATTTATTCACATTCATTAAAAGAATTGGAAATTTCTTTCCCTATTGATGCTGAGAAGGATTCAACAGTATTACAAATTGGTGCTGTTAATTGCAAAAAATTAGAGTTAATTAAAATTACATCTAAAGTAACGAAACTTTCTTCATATATTTTCCGAAATAATCCTAAACTAGAAGAAGTTCAATTACCAGACACTGTCAACACGATTGGCGAAGGTGTTTTCTATGAGTGTTATGAATTGAATAAAATCAATTTGGATAAAGTAGAATTATTCGATAGTAAAGCATTTGTCAATACAGGATTCAAAACGTTCGATTTTTCACATTATAAATATAACTACATTCCAGAAGAATTACTTCATGGCTGCATTAAATTAAAACAAGTAACAGGAACAGATAATATTACGTATGTATCTTCTAAAGCATTTCGAAATTGCACTTCTCTTGAAGAGATTAGTTTTAAGAATTTGACCTTAATTGATTCAGAAGCATTTTATAATTGTTCAAGTTTGAAGAGTTTCGAATTTTCAACTGTTTTAGCAATCGGAATAAAAGCATTTTGTTATTGTGAATCTTTAGAATCTATTACAATTTCCCATTTGATCTTTTTCGGCCAGAGTTCAGAGGCAGGAATTTTTGAAAACTGCACATCCCTTAAAAAAGCAGACTTGACAGGTTTAATAACTATTGATAACTATTTCTTCCAAGGTTGTGAAAGTTTAACTGAAGTAATATATAATCCTAATATATACTCCTTTGGCACGAAGACATTTGCAAGATGTGTTTTCAAAGAATTTACAATCCCTGATACAGTGTCAGTAATAGGCGAAAAATGCTTTTCTGGATGTGAGTCATTAAAGAAAATCATCATAGGAAAGAGAACGACTTCATTAACCACAAGCTGGTTTGATCCGACTGATCATACTTTAACATTCTCTATCCCAGACACAGTGTTCACAATCGGAACAAATGCATTTGACGGAATTGATAAAGTTGAAATAGAATTTACTGATAATAAAGTTTATGATTATAAAGACCAATCTCTTATAAACAAAATTGATAATTCTTTAGTTGTCACAGCAGGAATTTTGAGTAAAGTTTTCAAAGTTCCTGAAGAAGTAATTTCCATTTCTAATAATGCAATTACGAGAAGGTATTCAGCAAAGGAGTCGAAATCAAAGCGACGCTTGGATCTTAAGGATGCTAGCGATAAAATTGCATCTGCAGCAATAGTTAAAGTTCAAACGAATTTATTAGCAATGAATTCTCAATCTATTATATTCCAAAGTTTCTGCTATGATGGAGATATGTTTGTAACTGATGAGGCCTATATCTCTTCGTTTAATATTTATACAAATAAAGATTATCTTTATGATACTTTTGGCAAAACTGATACAACAGGGGGTGGATGTTCTACAAAATTGAATGATGCCTTCAAATGGAGACACATTATTGGTTGGGGTGGTGCAGAAATCGGTTTACTCGTTGTTCTTTTGCTTTTAATAATCGCATTGATTATTGTTCTCTTGCTTTACTTCCTCAAACCACTTGGCTCTGTTGGTGGTGGCGGTGGAGATAGTGGCAAGAAGGAGAAGAAGAAAGAAAAGAGCAGCAGCAGTTCTAAAAGTGATAAGAAAGACGCCGACGCAGTTTAAAAAATATTTTGAATAAATATTTTTTATTATAACTTTATTCTTTGTTTCAAATTTATATTCCCTATAATTTATATGATAGAATTTTCCCTATTTCACAATCACATGTACCAAATAGCAACAATTAATGTTCAATGCATTCTTACTCAGTTTTAATTTTCGTATAAAGATGTCTAATTATAACTGAAGAAATGCCAGTAGATTATGTATCGTTTACATTTGAAAATTATAATAATATTTAAAATAAGATTTTTAGTAATAGAAAAATCATTTGATTTAACTTTGCTGATGAAAGTTATGATATTGGAGGTCTTAAAACATTAATTGTTTAATTTCCTAAATGGATGAAGGAAATAAATGATAATTGCGGCAACCAAAACTAGTGAAATTATGATAACAGCAACTGTCAGTCCGATTTCTGATCCAGTAATTCCAATGTGATGCACATGAAGGATTTCTCAAATTGTTATTCCAGTTTGGATAAATATATTTTCTCGACACATAGTAATTAGTTCCCCTTGCTCCAAAATTAAGAGTTTTGTGATAATATTTTCCATCATAGCAAACTGATCTTAAATTATCAATCTGATTATTCCCGTCAAAATCTTTAACTGATTTAGGAATTCTTAAAATTCTAAATTGCATATCATTAAAAAATTCATTTCCTTCTATATCTTGGTAAATTGTTTGTGTTCCTACATTGAGAGACTCTTTTCCTATAAAGTTTATATCATCTGGTAATTTGTATATCATATCAACAACACCAAATGTTGTAATCAATTTGTTTGATGTTTTTTCAATGATTGAATTTTTTGATACATAATACTTTGGATTATTTTCATCAATTTCAACGGATACATATGCAAATTTACTAAAGACACCGACTGGAATATTTATTACAGTTGATGAAAGAACTAATGCCATATTTGTATTATCAATAAGGAATTCTTTAATATCACTTTCAATCCCAAATGATTTCATTATATCTTCAACATTTGAGTTATCATAATTTTCATTAAGCGCTCTTCTTTCCTTCAGTAATCTATTGCTATCATATTTCACTATTTTTACGGTTTTTGCATCGAATATTCTTCCTTTATAATAAAAGTATCCCCTAGGTGGATTATAATATGCTTGATATGAAAATGCTACATCTCTGTAATAATTACTTAACTCGAATTCAGAAAATGGTTGAAATCCAGGTGGATAACTTGACTTCTCGCTTGGAGTAAAGGTGCTAATATATGAAGGAAGTTCGATATTTTCCTCATATTCAATTTCCTCTAATGTGCTGGCATCAAAATACTTACCTCGGTATTCATAAATATTTTGAATTACATTATAATGGACATCTTGGAATGTATATGGAATTGGAGAAAATTTTTCAAAGATACGTGGAATTGGAGAAAATTTTTCAAAGATACATAACGTGGAAGGGATACTGGAACTTTAAACCAAGAATAAATCTTAGTAATATCAGTTATTCCTGCACCAAGTTTTAGTTTTGATAAAAATTTGCATCTTGCAAAAGCACCTTTTCCAACTTCAGTAATATGATATGGGATTGTTAATTTCTTCAAAGAAATACAGCTCATAAATGTACCAGATGGGATAATTCTTTGCTGTGGATGAAATTCAACTTCTTTTAATTTTGCATATCATTGGAATAAATTTGTACTTGATGAATCAGAATCAAGAATGATGTTTTCAGGCATTGTTATATCTGTTAATGAAACACAACCAGCAAATGCAGATGAACAAATAAAGGTCATCAATCACAACTTTTTCAAGCCTGAAACAAGAAGAAAAGCATCCATCAGCAATTTGGAATGGCTCTGAAAGATTTGAATTTGTCATATTGACTTTTTCAATGTATCTAGACATGCTGAATGTAAATGCATATCTAGATAATATGTTAATTGTTATTTCTTTGACATTCTTATTGAAATATAAGGCACCCTTCGTCGTTCCATTAAAAGAGCCTGGAAATATCATAGATTTTTCAGAATATGATGGAGAAACAAATATTAATGCACCTCTTTTATTCAGAATTAGTCCATCACTTTTAATCAAGTTATCATTGGAGTGGTGCAGAAATTGGCTTACTTGTTGTTGTTTTGCTTTTAATTATCGCATTGATTATTGTTCTCTTATTTTATTTCCTCAAACCAATTGACTCTGGCTGTGGAAATACCGGTAACAAGGATGAAAAAATAAAAAAGAGCAGCAGTAGTAGCATTTCCAATAGCAACAAGAAAGAAAACAGTGATGCTGAATCAGTTTAAAAAAAATATTATAAATAAATATTTTTTTTACCTAACGAATTTTAAAGAATAATGCTTGGTGGATCTGATATTGAAGATGTTCCATATATTGGAATCCAGGATTCAATGGTTGAAGCCTCAAAATTATTATATTGCGGAAATGAAAGCGATTAAAAGGATATTATTTCAAGTGCACATTGTTTCAATGCTGCTGGACAGATTTATTTAGTTACATCTTTGATAAAGAGACTTGTTTCCATGATGACAGTCGCCGAAAATCCACATTTCCCATTACCAAGAAATGATGGAATTTATCAATTATGGCAGATAGGACCAATTGAGATATATGAGGCTTTGGTTTATCCAACCGGCGAAAGCTTAGCTGGTACAATAGGAGCAAAGGTAAGAGAATATAGAAAAACATTAATTCTCTTTACTAATTTAGTAATAATTTTGGGATTAATTGTAACAATTGCGTCTGTTTTAATTATAAAGAGAGAAGACAAAATCATGAAGTTCTCATTGAAATTATTACTCAGAGTTCCTTTCACTGTTTTATTTACTAACAAAAGAGTTATGGAACTTTTAGGAGGAAATTACGATTTACAAATGGAAGACTCAACTGAAAAAACACTTGAATTCCATAATGAAGTTGTTAATAGACTGAATGATGTCGTAATTGTTTGCAACAGCGAAAGTAACAAAATCATTACAGTGAATGCCGCATTTGAAGAAATGTTCGGAATCAAACAAGAAGAAGCTGAAGGAATGGATATTGTTGATTTCTTCAATGAAAAAAGATTTGAATCAGATGAAAAAGTAAGTAAAGTATTTAGATCAACAGCAAACTTGATTTATACCAACAAACAAGGAATCAAGATTTACTTAGAATTCTCACAATCAACAGTTTCAGGAAGAAGAATCTTTTCAGGAAGAGATCAGACACAAAATGTTTTGCATGAGAAATTGATTGAAGAAGAGAAGAAGAAGTCAGATGCAATGCTTGCATCTATCCTTCCAGCGATGCTTGTTCCACGTGTTCAAGCAGGTGAGAAGAACATCTCATTCAGTGTTCAGTCAGCTACAGTCCTCTTCTTAGATGTTGTTGAGTTCACACCATGGTGTGGTAGCCATGATGCACAGTATGTCATGTGTATGCTTAACATCATGTTCAAAGAGTTCGATGCTATCACAAATGCACACAAGACAATGACAAAGATCAAGTGCATTGGTGACTGCTACATGGCCGCAGGTGGCATCTTCGACGAAGTTAACCAACCTGCAGTCCATGCTAAAGAAGTTGTTGACTTCGGCTGCTTAGTCATCAAGAAACTTCTTGACATTGACGAGAAAGAGAACGAGAAACTTCGTATCCGTGTTGGCATCAACACCGGTGGTCCTATTGTTGCCGGTGTTATTGGTACAGAGAAACCAACATTCGAAATCCTTGGTCCCGCGATCAACATCGCACACGAGATGGAGAACAAAGGTGTTCCAATGAAAGTCCACATTTCACGTCCAGTCTATGAACTTATCTATGGTCAACAGTTTGACATCAAAGAGCGCGGCGAAATTGATGTTAAAGGCGGCAAGATGTTCACATATCTTGTCGAACCATAACTTTTTATTTTATATTTTTTGTTTGTATTATTTAACGTTATACTTTATTTTAATTTTTCATGTGTTTGATATTAAATAGCTATTAATAAGTTATATTAAATATCGAAACGAATATTCAGACATTATTTTCATTCATTTTTCATCAAGTTTTATAGAACAAAATGTAAGAATTTCAGTATGAAGCTTAAAATGTATTCTGCGTTAAAAATTATTTTAATTTTTGTATCCATCCAAAATAGCACTTTAATTCGAAAATCTTTGCCCAAGTCCATTCATAGTTTTTATATTGAGCAATGATTTTCTCTTCTCGGCACAATAGGTCTTCACCAAAATATTGTATGAGATCGATCAAAAATTATCGTCTATCAATTTTGATGTTGAGAAGACGATGCCCATGATAATCTTTTTTTAATTCAAGATTTTTTATACCACCGTTGTTTCATATTCTAGTTTTTTTAGACTTATGTCTTTTTTAACCGAATCACCGTCAAAGTATTGAAAATCGTTTTTCCCTCTCAATTTTTAAGAGAAATTTTTAAAAATTTTAGAGAACTATATATTGCATCATATTGTTTCGTATTATTCAATATTTTAATGTACGTTAAACATCGATCAATTGAATTTTATTCGTAGTGACATAAATTTATCGCTCTCAAAATATAATGAGGATTTTATATCATTGAAATAAAAAATATACAAACATTAAATAGAATACATTTAGGTTTTGTGCTCGTTAGTTAAGAAAAACTACAGAAATGGAATTTTCGATTGCAAGTAATGAAATTGTACTATATTATTATATTTATTAATATTGTTATTTACTAAATTTTTTTTCTGAATATTCTAAAAACCCGTAAACAAAAATTCAAAGCTAATGTCGGAATGTTCATTCCCAAATCCTTTTTTCAAAGAATACAAACAACCTTCAACTAAATCATATATCAGATAATTTATATTATCATAATGCTCGCACTCATTTTTTGCTAGTTGTTCTCAATCCATTTGAATTTTTTTTATTCCGCTAGGTTCTCACAGAAAATATGAAAGTGAAAAGATGTGATATACTAATTAGATTAATATTTTAATCTTAATCTAAAAACTTACCATTCAATTTAAATTGAGATACATTCAAATTTCATTTTTCGTCAGAGCAAATGGAAGAAATCCCAATATCTTCATCTGGAACATCCGGGTTCAGTTTACAATCATCAAAAGAAAGTAGATATGAAGAATTAATTGATGTTCCATTTACACAGACTTTAGAGAAAAATCTAATTTCTTTATTTAATTATTTTGACATGTATTCTCCACGCCTGCAAGTATTTCTAAAGGTGATAACTATTGTTAGATTCTTTCAGCTTATAGGTCCTGCCTTCATGGCTTCAAATAACGATATTTTCAAACCAGGAACGTTAACTTACAATACCATGAGCATAATCAACATATTATTTCACATTGTCCCACCTAAATACAGTTTGAATAAGGAATATATCATATTGTTTGTGTTTGATGCAATATTGTTCTTGAATTTAATTTATTTAGTGGCAACAGCGTTTAGATACAAATATACAAGCAAGGTTTCTAAAGTATCAACAATACTCCTATCTATATTTATGTCTTCCGTGCCGTTCTATTTGCTTCCTATATGTTCTCACTTTACTGGTGAATTAATTTCAAGGTACATTGCAGGAAAAGCAGTAACAGATGCCAAGTATATAGTTGCAATTATCCTCACATTAATCATCATCTTACTTTACCCGTGGATTTTCGTTGAAACTTATACAAATACAGTTATATTCAGAGCATCTTCATTCCAAACACTAGAAGGAGGACCACAGAACAAACTATTGATTACAACTATTATCATTTCATTGATCTGTTCGTTGAATACATGCTTAACTTCCATTCCATCGTTAATTATTTTAATTATTAGCATAATTTTATATGCATTTAATATGACAACATGCTTCAGGTGTGGTACATTCATAAGACTCGAAGACCAAGCCTTAGCATTAACTGGATCTATTATTGGAATACTTCTTTGTGCTGCCTCAATTGCGCCCGTAATGGTCTCAAATTTTGTATGGAATGAAATTTTCTTTATCGTTTTCATCGTAATTTTGATCGTCACGTTTTCTCTAACTTATTTATTTGTAAAGAGAAGAGCAACAAAGGACTTATTAGTTCTTGATCAGATCACAGAGACAAATGATATAGACCTTGTCCGTTCTCCTGGAAAGTTCAAACAGTTAATAATTTCCGGATTTATGTACAATCATCAGATTTGCATTGATTTCACTTTATTTAAACTTGCTGTTGAGAAATGGCCAGAGAATGCCAGTATCTGGTTTGTCTATGCCAAGTTTGCTGCAATTTATCCGGAGAATATTAATAATTTGGCTTTTATCTATCAAAACGTCAACCAATTCAAGACAGATCAACACCTACAGAAGATCATACTTACTAACCTTCAAATGATTACGAATACGCGTGAACAAAGCTTTACATCGGAAATCAAAAATAAAATCTCGAAGATCCAAAAGAATTTCAACAAAACAAAGAACAGATTACGTAATATATGGGATCTGATACTTCAAGGTTCCAATAGCGAGATGTTTCATTCGATCAAATCTGCATATGTTTCAGTTGTCGAATGTGAGAACGAAGCCAACCATTTAAAGATGCTTTATCCCAATAACAAGTTCATTCTTCGTCAATACGCTCGTTTTCTTTACGAAATCAAAGGAGATCCTTTAACATATAAAAATACAATGGAGCAAGTTACTAAACTACAAAGAGGAATCAGAATAACAAGCGATGTAGTCCATGATCTAAGCATTGAAGCCTTTCCTAACCTTCCCGACGTCTCATTAGAATCTCAACCATCAGATTCAGGACAAAACATCGAAACAGAGTCATTTAACATTGATGATACATCATTAGAAGATGATTTGATTGTTAATTCCATAAATTCATTGACCAGACAACTTAATTCCCACAAAATTCCATCAATTCAATTCATGTATTTTTCAACAATAATTTTATTTTTTGTTTTATCAATTTTACCATTTATAATCATGAGAATTTGTTATATTTACTTCTCCAATGAACTTAAAGATCCAATAAACTACATGCAAGGCATTGCTTTCATGAGGAATTTAGTGAATACGTTGCCTGCTTTTACAGGAAAATTATTATTACAAGAAATAAAAGATCCAAAAAATTTATCACAAGTTTTGATGCCTCCTGCACAATTTGATCCAGGATTTACTTATATGGCTTATTCAGGGAATGAATTAACACGCGATATCTTGAATTACATGGCTCAAAGTATATCAGATGCGAATACTTTGATTTATCCATTGAGAAATTTCAAATACAACAATAAATTTGTTGATAAAGTTCGTGATGATTTATTTAGTCCGAAATTGACATTTTATTATTATTTGAATAATACTTATAATACTTCTAGTGATTCTAGTAGTTACCAAATTAGTTATTTGATTGGTACTTCCGTTGGAAAACTTTTAGAAACTTATCCTGTTTTGAATGTTGAAGCTTCGAAATCAAGTAATTGTTTGACAATTAGAAACAACAACAAATTGATAACTACGGAAACAAGTGATGCTTTGGATAGAATGATTGATTATATACAAGAGTTTTATGATTATTGGAGAAAAGCTTTGATTATTTGTTTGATTTGTTTGATATTTATTTGTATCTTAGTTTATTTCGTTGTTTTTTCATTACAAATAAGAAAAGTAAGACAAAACAAAGACGAAATAATCAAAGTTTTCAGTGAATTGCCAAAAACAATGATATCCAGTGTTTCTTCTTCGTTTTCTAAATCAAATGATAAAGGATTGACAACAACAATGTCAGTAACTTTGTCTCAAAAAGATATAGAAGGAAACAGACAAGAAGAATCAATAATCAAACTGTTTTCAAGTATTTCTGATGGTGTTTCCGCGAATTCGGAATATTTTAATTTGTTTTGTTTCATTTGTATCGTTATTAGTAATTGTGTTGGATATTTCTTGACTATTAATTGTTTCTTGAACTCTTCTAGAACTGTATATAGAGATTGCCATCAAATCAATTATCTCTATGGTTCAATTACTTTCTTTTTCTCAATGATGGCGAGATTGTTCAAAATAATTTTGCAGAAACATGATGAAATTTTCGAAGACACTGTAATTGATACTGAACAAGAAATAGAAGGTATAGAAGTCTATTTACCAAAACAATTGGAATACTTCCACAGAGTAAGATTTGGCAATTTGACTGATGACGAATTGCCTTTCGAAGGAATGAAAAATGCTTTGGATAAAGCAAATAAAATTTTGGCGTGTAGAATTGGATTACAACCACCGACAACTGTTAGAGATTCTGTTCATTGTTTCAGTGTAGAAGCACAGATGTATACAGCTCTTTCTTATCTAAAGAGAATTGTTAACTTCATGAGACAATCTCCTCCTCATTGGCCTCAAGCAAGAGGTGAAAACATTATTGATATTTGGCAAATTGGTCCTTTGGAGTTATATGAAGCTTTGTTTTATAGAGCGGGAATTGCTTTGGTTCCTAACATGGAAAAGAAAGTAAACAGACAGGAAACGAAGTTAATAACATTTGTTGTTGTTTTCATTGTTATTTCTGCTTTGTTTACTTTGTTTATGATGATTTCCATTAAAAGTGAAGAAGTTTTGATGAAATTCACTTTGTGGCAATTCTTGAGATGTCCAATTTTCACAATTATTAATGACCAGAAAGTAATGAATTTGATATCAGGAAGTTACAACAAAATCAAGGATAATAATAATGATAAATACTCAGGATTCTCAAATGAAGTTGTCAACAGATTAAATGATGTTGTAATTGTATGCCAAGATGAAACAGGAAAAGTTCTTTCTGTTAACAATGCTTTTGTAGAAATGTTTAATACGAAAGAAAGTGATTTTGTTGGTTCTAACATAAAAGATTTCTTTGTTCCTGAAAGATTCAAAAGCGAAAAACTACATAGAATGTTTACAACAGGAACTGATGTTGTCTACAAGAAAGAAGATGGAACTAAAGTTTACTTGCAGTTCATTACTTCAACTGTTTGTGGAAGAAGAATCTTTTCAGGAAGAGATCAGACACAAAATGTTTTACATGAGAAATTGATTGAAGAAGAGAAGAAGAAGTCAGATGCAATGCTTGCATCTATCCTTCCAGCGATGCTTGTTCCACGTGTTCAAGCAGGTGAGAAGAACATCTCATTCAGTGTTCAGTCAGCTACAGTCCTCTTCTTAGATGTTGTTGAGTTCACACCATGGTGTGGTAGCCATGATGCACAGTATGTCATGCGTATGCTTAACATCATGTTCAAAGAGTTCGATGCTATCACAAATGCACACAAGACAATGACAAAGATCAAGTGCATTGGTGACTGCTACATGGCCGCAGGTGGCATCTTCGACGAAGTTAACCAACCTGCAGTCCATGCTAAAGAAGTTGTTGACTTCGGCTGCTTAGTCATCAAGAAACTTCTTGACATTGACGAGAAAGAGAACGAGAAGCTTCGTATCCGTGTTGGCATCAACACCGGTGGTCCTATTGTTGCCGGTGTTATTGGTACAGAGAAACCAACATTCGAAATTCTTGGTCCAGCAATCAACATCGCACACGAGATGGAGAACAAAGGTGTTCCAATGAAAGTCCACATTTCACGTCCAGTCTATGAACTTATCTATGGTCAACAGTTCGACATCAAAGAACGCGGCGAAATTGATGTCAAAGGTGGCAAGATGTTCACATATCTTGTCGAACCATAACTTTAATTTCATATTTTAGTGTTTAATATTTTTAATATTTTTATTTGTATTATATCTAGCTTTATTTTATCTGTTTGTATTTAAATAAAACTATATATTTATGTATTGAAATTTATTCATAATAATTTTTATTACCGAGTTCAACACCATCAGTAGTGATTAGTAGAGTATATCTCAATCACTGACAATTAAGTTGCACTATCATTTATTATTAATCTCCTCTACAACAACATTATCAGTGATAAATTTCTTCACAAGCATTTAATGCATTTGAACTTGACTGAATAATCTAACATATGAAAACTTCAATGGTGTTGAAACTTAAAATTTTGGAATAGAGTCAAATTTAGCAAATCAATTTTTGGAATTATTCAAAAGAAAATGCCAGAGCTTTCATTCATGTTTTTTGTAAGTTGAGAGTAGATTGTTTGTTATTTTGTGAATTTCAAAAAGAAATAAAAATTTCAAAAAAGATTGTTTGGAATTTTAGAATTTGTTAGTTTACTTTATTATTCGGCCGAATAGGTATACATGAATGATAAGATTTTAAGCCCAGAGAACAAGGAGATAATACTTTGATAAGCAAAACTTTTTCCTATGGATCTGAAAAATTGAAAGAGTTGCAGATCCAAAAAGTGAAAAAAAAAAGGTAGTGGGGCTTCCAGGCGCGTTGCGCCCTCTAGCCCTGAAGATGTTTAGTATAAATGAAGTTTTTATTCGGAAAATTGTTAGTCTTCTGGGTCGAAAACATTATATAATGTGTCGCTTTTCACAAATTATATATGTTTTCATGCTTTGTCACTTTTCTGTCACTTTTCGGGTAAAAACATTTTTATTATTATATATAAATGAATTTTACAAAACCACCGTTACCGTTCTTTGGAAATAAGAGTAGATGTAAAGATATTATATTGAGAGAACTTAAGAAACTACCGAATGGTCTAATATTTGTAGATTTGTTCGGTGGAAGTTTCTATATATCCCATTTGTGCCATACAATATTCCCAGACTCAAAGATTATATGCAATGACTTCGACAACTATATGGACCGTCTCAAACATATTCCAGACACAAACAATATATTGAAAGAGTTAAAAGAAAAGATACCTATAGGTAAGATGGAACGTATACCATTAGATAAGAAAAATATTGTGAGAGAGGTTTTGAAAAAAGCAGAATATATAGACTGGGATAGTATATCTGCTAGACTATTATATAGTGGTTCTATAAGAGTTCATGACATTGAAACACTTATGTCAAAAGTTTTATATCTTAACTATACAAATGTTTTCAAAGAGAACATAGAAAAATATATTGAGGGTATAGAGTTTGTGAGATGTCATTGGACAGAGTTGTATGAAAAATATAAAGACAAGGAAAATGTTTTCTTTATAGTGGACCCGCCGTTCTATAACACATGGGATTTTCAATACCAAGTAGACTGGACTTTGAGAGACTCTTTAGAAACTTTAGACGTTATACATAACCATCCATGCTTTTACTTTACATCCGATAAAAGTGGTTTGGAAACCGTTATGAGATGGTTAGAGGACATACATGACTATGAGTTTATATATGACAAGATAGAATATGAGAGAGGTCCTATAAACTGGAGAAAGTGTCACAATAAAGAAATTTTATTAGTAAGTAAATGTGGTTTGAAATAGGACTACTTGTTTTAGGTTTTTTCCATTGTGTCATTTATTTATTTGACGTGGCAGAAAAGTACAGAGAATATGAAGATGAACCAATGCCTGCAAATGTTCAGTATATGTACTCGTAAGAGATATTTTTATCTAATATTAAATGGACGCACAGAACTTAGCGAATGCACAGCAACCTGGACAACCAAACCCAGAGAATATTCCAAATGAAGTTAGAATACAAACTGCAATGGCAAACTATGGTCAAGTGCCAACAGATGTACAAATGCAAACTGCCATGTCAAATGACGCTGCGTTAGGTTTGCCACCATGGTATGCAAATATGAGATGGAAAGAGTTTTATACAAACCCTGAAGTGGGATATAAACAACTTTATGCAGATGACGCGAACACAGGAGTTGACCCAGAATATGTTTTCTACCAGAGGAGAAACAGAATGTATGAGCTCCAGTTAAAGAATGCTATGGAACTCAACAGGAAACGTAAGAGACTAGGCGGACATTAGATTTTTACATATAGTAAAATGGGTTTCTTCAGTAAGATAGGAAACTTCTTTCAAAATGTTGGAAGAGGTATATGGAATGGAATAAAATCTGTCGGAAAAGGAATTTGGAACGGAGTCAAAAATATTGGTAAAAGAGTAGGTCAGTTCGTTGGTATTATACCTAAAGACCCTGAACCAGAAGAGCAAGCTCCTGTTATACAACAGCCTGAACCTGCACCACAGTCTAGTTGGCAACCAAATCCAACACCTCAACCGTATTAAAAAATTATATTTTTATCGTTCGATAGTAGTTGTATATGAAACTAAGTTCTAAGTAAAACGCATGGTATAATGGAATTATTCTTTTTCTTCCATCTGTAGTAAACCATACTTGAAAGTCTGAAATACTTCCACTTGGTGGTTCGTATAACTTTGTAGGTTTTTCGTAAAAGTCATTTGCCAAGCATAAGAAAGAGTTTTGGGCGCCAGAAAATGAAGCATGAACAATAATAGCATCTTGGTCGAAAATATTTTCATATGTTCCATTAGGGTTTTCGACTTCATAATAGTCCGGGTGTACTGGATATGCTGCAGGCTGATTTAACATCCTCATAAATCTATACCATGCCAAGTTGTTATATTTTGTAGAAATATAAACGTTTTCTCCAAGGTCTTCTATTTTATTGATTTTAACAGTTGCATTTTTCCTGTCATAAATAATATCGAGATGGTATTCTCCTTCGTCAATGTTATACTGGTTTGCATATTCGATATAGATATCGTTTATTTTTTCTTGAAAAGCTTGAAGAGTTGTTTCTAAGTTTACAAGCAAACTAACTTGTAAAAGTTTTCCCTGTTCAAATTTCTCATGCATACGTTTTTCTTTGTTATAGTATCGAACTTCAAAACCGACCGTAAATGGGAAACCATGTATGGCTTCTGAAATGAACTTCATTCTACGAAAGCCAATAGCTTTTGTGACAGATGGGTCTCTTAGCCATCTTAATGGGTAGTCAAAACGATAGCCTTCATGCTTTACGGTCTCTGTCTCAAACTTTTGACCGACATTAGTAAAAAGTTCATCTAATGGTTTAGTTGTAGCAACTCTTGAATTTTCTTTTTCTATTGGAAGCATATTTTATCTATAATAAAAATGTCGAAAGATATTGCTTCCATGAGAGAAATACAACACAACCGACAACTCATTATGCAAGCTCTAAATAAGAACACAACAAACTTTTCAAACTATTCTAAGATATCTGAGTCATTGAAAGAAGGAAACTTAAAACTGACATTAAACCCAATGACAGATGAGTTTCTGTTTCAAGACAATAAGAACCATACTGTCTGTATAAATCCAACAAAAGGAACTTTAAACGAGAAACCTATAAATGAACTTCTTTTGAAGGCAGATGTTGACAACAAAGCTGACAAAGAATATGTAGACGATGCAATAGCAAAAGAAGAAGAAAGAGCTAACAATGCTTATGCAACAAAAGAACATACTCATCCTGAACTAGCAGACAAAACATATGTTGACAATAAAATGTCAAGTGAAGTGACAAGAGCTGAAAACGAATATTCTAAAAAGACTCATATACATTATATTAACCAAATACCAAGTCTTAAGGAAACATTAGAGACAAAAGCAGATAAGACTCATACACATTCTATATCTGATATTACAAACTTACAAGAAACCTTAAACAGGAAAAGTGCCGTTGGACATACACATACTATTGCAAATATTACAAACTTACAAGAAACCTTAAACAGGAAAAGTGACGTTGGACATACACATACCATTGCAAATATTACAAACTTACAAGAAACCTTAAACAGGAAAAGTGACGTTGGACATACACATACATCTTCTGAAATAACAGACTTAAACGTTAGCCTTGAAAAGAAAGCAGACAAGAACCATACACATGATTTCTTCACAACTGTTGCTATAGAAAGTATTGAAGGAACGGTTGAAGAAACTGGTGGGGATGCATTATATTGTAAACCTCCTAACTTTCCACAAGGTTTAACATCGGATGACGACATAACGACGATGAGAAACATTAGATGTAAAGATGTTTATGTCATGAAGGATGAACATAATATTAAATTCACTGCTCAAGATTTATATGACAAGAAAGCAGACAAAACAGAGCTTCAAACATTAAAGACAGAAATACTTCAAACATTATATCCTATAGGCTCTATTTATACGTCAATGAACTCTACCAGACCAGAAGTAGTACTTGGTTTTTGGAACTTGGACTCAAATAGTCGACAGGTTTTTGTATTGTGCAAACTCTTCAAAGGAAACAGGTGGAAGTAAAACGATTTCAGGTGAAATTTACCTGCACACAGTCACTACATAGATTTAAGTACATCTCAAGCAGGTTGGCATAAGCATAGATATTGGGATTGGTCAGCAATGACAAAAGGTAAAGGATATGATGTTAAAGACAACGTTAAGTTTGCTATAAATTGTTACTGGAGTAACACTGAGGGAGGAGGAAACCATACACATCACGTTTCAGGATATACGCAAACAACGGGACAAAGTAAAGAATACATGCCACCTTACATGACAGTTTACGCATGGTATAGAATTGCTTAGTCGTCATTTTCAACTTCTTTAGCATATTCGTCAGGAGTTGTCTTATATTTGTTAGGAACTGTCTTTGAAAGTATACCACCTTGAACTTTGACAAGTTTTGAAACGAGGTCTGGCAATAGTAGTTTTATCTTCTGCTTGCAGTGTGTACATTTTGCCATGTTTGCCTAAAACTTCATAATATTCTCTTGTATACTTTCTTCTATTTTTACGAACACGAATGTGAGTACCTGTCGAGTTCCCATTGTTGTCATAGTCAATAGTATTTTCATATGGGTCGCGTTTAGGTATTTCTATTTTTACTTTGTCACCTTTCTGAAGTTTGAAGCCCGGCATTCTTTCTTGTTTGTCTCTTTTGACTAAATTATTAAATATATAGTCTTTCTCTAAGTCAGGGTTGTTTTTCATTTCTTCGGGGGAGTGGTTTCCCAAACCTTTTTGTTTACGGTTATTGTAAATATTTAAAACTTGTCTCATCTTTGCCATGGAGAAGTGTCTATACTTGTCGTCATATGACATTTCATTTGCTTCACCACCTTGTGGTTGGTTTAAGTCTCTTAACATTTTTATACAACCGTCAATGACACCAAGAGCAGAATGGTTTTGGTCGACAATGAAATATTGGTTTACATTTTTTGAACGCAGATAGTTTTTAATATCATCTGATTTGAAAGAACTTTCACAGTCAGATGTCAGTTTTGTTGGATGGTATTTGTCAACGAATATTGTCAAAGCAGTTTTCACATCTAAAATATTTTGGACCATAATGGTATGGCTTCACAGTATCTTGTGTTTTGACCAACAAATATTAACCAGTATGGTGGTCCATCTTCTCTATACCTCGGAATGTTTTCCAAGATATCCATAAACCAAGCATTTGGTGTTGAACTAAAGATTTTTATCATGAGTGCTTTCTTTGTCGCTTTAGAAACATAGGGGTCCTTGTTTGGATTCGTCATTTTTTAACCCATAAGAAATGGGTTTATTTGGCGCATTAGCAGGAGTTGCATCCAGATTTTTGCCCGCAGTGGGAACAATAGCTAGAGGTGTATTTGGAGTTGGAAGGAAGATTTTGAGTACATTAGGTATACTGAAAGAGAAAGCACAACCTATTATACAAACTGTACAGAAAGGTTGGGATGTAGCACGAGATGCAACAAATCTTATTCCAAATCCTGAAACAAGAGGAAAAGTTCAAGGATGGATGGACAATGTAGGAAGACAAGCAGGAAACTATTATAACAAAGCAAATGACTACTATAACCAAGCAGGACACTATATGGACCAAGGTGAAAGATTCTTTAACAGAGGATATAACCATGCACAACAATGGGTAAACAATAACCAACCTCAACCGCCTCAAACGTGGGGAATGTAAAATTTTTTACTGAGATGAAATGAACAATACAGCATTGAGACAAATGGGTTCAAGATGGATTTGTCGACTTCCAGCAGTTACACCACGTGTTTGTCAAGTTCTTCCTATACCTCAGGAAGTTTTAGACCGACTTAAAAAACAACAACAACCAGTTGAAAACAAACCAAACTAAAATTTTTTACTGAGATGAAATGACCGAAGAAGTTGAAACGGTAGATTTGACACCACAAACAAAAAGTTCAGAACCATTGTCAAAACCTGTCAAAGAACTTACAGATGAAGAGAAAAATTCAATAATAGAAAGTGCCAGGTCTGGAAATACAAACCCTAACTACAAAGTCACTTTTCATAAAAATGGAACGGCTAGTATCTCAAAAAAGAAACAGACTCTCACAAATAAAATATTGAAGTCTGAAGGAGCTTTCGAGACAACAGATGGAAAAGTTTACTTCACTGACCAACAGTTCATTATAGAACATCTCATTGACTTAGAGTCGAAATATTCTAAACTTTACAACAAACACAAAAAGTTGAAAGGAAAACAAAAACAAATGGCATATGATATTTATGAAGATGTTGACGACACAACTGTTCCTGCAGGTGAGGTAAAGTCAGAGGAACCGAAAAGTGACGAAAAACCGATAGAAGAAGAAAAACCAAAAACTGAAGATAAACCAAAACCAAAGTTTAGTTTCCAAACTAAACCAAGTCAACCTTCATTAGCTGGTATGGGTTGGCGTCAAAGACTTATGGCAGCAGGCGGTTATGTAAAGTAAAGAAAAAAATATTTTTTTATTTTTATAAAAATGCCCCCATATAGAATGGATAGAAAGTCTGCTAGAATAAAAGCAGAGTTGCAAAGATATGGTTGGAGAGTTTCGAAGAATTTTAAATATAGGAAGGGAAGACCCATAAAAGTCTATGACAAATTGTCTGGTCTTCGCTACGAAATGGATTTGGAAACAGCACGTGCCAATTATCCAAACAGACTAGAGAGGTTAGAAGAAGAACGTCTTATGGACATGCCTTTCGATGTGTTAAACATTGCATGAAGTAAAAAATTTATTTTAAAAAAGTGACATTTTTTTATTTTATTTGAAATGTACGCTGAGTTTGTTAGTGAACCTCAAGTTGAAGGAAACTTGTTTGTTAGATGAGAAATATGAAATGGCATACCATTTTAAAACAATATATTTTTACATATATTAAATGCTTCAGGTTGAAAAACAAAGAACAAAAGTAGCAGATACAAAACCGTTAGACTATATCTTTACAAATGCTGGTAGGACTATTTCAGATGAAGAAATTTCATCCCGAGCATACAGGTTTGACTATCCAATTCGTTGGCTTCAAAGTCCTTCAGATGCAAAGGCAATAGGATTTAGAAGAGTTTTGTTTTCAAATAGAACTAACGCATTTATGTTCGCAGTATATTTTCATGGGCAGTATAAAGGTTCTGATGGTCTAATAGACAAATTTGACGAAATGAGAATCTTTACAGTTCGTTCAGACGAAAGTCTTGAGAAAACTCTAAATGACTTTCAAACTCAAATGAACAAATATTATTGGGAATTTCAAGAAAAATACGACTCTTTACTAAATGGAACATACTATCTGAAACTAGAATATGACAAGATGAACTCCACCGTTTCATTTCAAAAGATTGAAATTAACCCTCCAAGAGATACAGAGTTTTTATTTTGGAAAGTAGACAAACGTTCTTGGGCACAATTTCTTCGGTTACTAAACCAGAACGAACCATTACCACCAGATGGTCCATTTAAATTTATACTTCCACCAGCAGATTTGATGGTTTATAGAAACGTGTTTGACCCTCAAAATGTTATGTGTCATGCAAGTTTCAGTTCAAGCAACAATAGTTTTCTATGTATTGGTAAGGACTTTTATGACTTTGCTTCTAAATTCTACGAACCACCTAGTAACAGTTTCTCTGACTTTCAAGTTTGGTTCACAACAAATGGTGTGCAACATATTATTCCATTGTACTATGACTTTTATCTCGAATTGTCTTTCATATATAACTACAGAAAAGTGCTGAAAAAGTATTGAAAAATAATGTTTATGTTAGCATGTTAGATCTAACACGTTTTCTAACCACTTTTCTAACATCGTAGAAAACTCATGAAAACAATTTATTTTTGACACTTTCACAAAAAACATAAAAAAGGTGAGTTAAAATGAGATGTTTACTGAACTGGTTGGATGTCGCCTTCTGAGGTTATGTAGAACGGCTGACCCGAGAAGTGAAGGAGACCCTTGAGAATTTGTATAATTCGTGGAATTGGACTCTCTCTGTTTGGTATTTTTATCCAAGGACGCTTGGCAAAGAACTTTATAATGGCTTCTCTTTTGGCGTCCTTTATGTCGTCGAAAGGAGTGCCTTCTGGTACCTCAATTGGAATTCCAGTCGAAGTCTCGAGATTCAAGGCAGCCCTTCCAGAAATAGTGGTGAACTTGACCTTGGGCTTCATGACCTTGCGCAAGTAGTCTTTAACAAGCTCGTTAATTTAAATTAGGTAAACTGCCTCATCTAATGGCTCGATGTTGTCCATTGCTACTGTCAGAAAAAGTACTGCTACTGTCAGAAAAAGTACTGCTTCTGTCAGTAAAAGTACTGCTACTGTCAGTAAAAGTACTGCTACTGTCAGTAAAAGTACTGCTACTGTCAGTAAAAGTACTGCTACTGTCAGTAGCAGTACTGCTAGTAGCAGAGATTTTTATCGTTGGTGGTCCGACGGTTAAGCCACAAACGAATGTCCGACGTCCCACCAACCCTTGGATGTTCCAGCAATTCCAATCTCAATCCAAATCGAAGAGAGACCAAGAGTTCGAAGAAGGTCTGAACCGCTTACGCAAAGAGTATGCTACAGCTCCAATTGAGAGAAAGTTGTTCCCGGACCAAAAAATAATGTTTAGGGTAGATGGTTAGATCTAACCTCATTTCTACCCTCATTTCTACCCTCATGAATTTTCATGAATTTTCATGAATTTTATATATTAATGTTTTCGTTAATTTAAATTAGGTAAACTGCCTCGTCAAATCCTTCTGGCATTCCGAGTCCTTCCATCCGACAGGAAAATATTTTCCCGACAACTGGAAAAAATTTTCCTTCCGACAGGAAGAACTCTTCCAGTTGTCCGTCCGTAAACCATTCAAATTTTCGAAAATTGAGAACTTTTTGGTCGAACTTCAGAAAAAGTTTTTCCTTCCAACAGGAAAAAATTTTCCTTCCGACAGGAAAAAATTTTCCTTCCGACAGAAAAAGTTCTTCCTTCCGACAGGAAAAGTTTTTCCTTCCGACAGGACACAAACGAATGTCCGACGTTCCTCTTCCTGAACGCCTTCCCAAACCAGAGGAACCTAAAGCACCAGCCCCTGCACCTCAGTTCCAGCAAGTACCTCCGAATTACTACCAATTTCCACCTCAAGGTTACTACCTACCACAAGGCTTCCCGAACTACCCTCCTCAGCCTATGCCTTACTTCCTCAACCCTTGGTTGTTCCAGCAAGCTCCACCCCAGCAATTCCAATCTCAATCCAAATCGAAGAGAGACCAAGACTTCGAAGAAGGTCTGAACCGTTTACGCAAAGAGTATGCTACAGCTCCAATTGAGAGAAAGTTGTTCCCGGACCAAAAAATATATTTTAGGTGAAGAGGTTAGATCTAACCTGTTTTTTCACCTGTTTTCTCACCCTCTTGAATTTTCATGAATTTTATATATTAATGTTTTCGTTAAGCCACTTTGTGCTGTCAGTCAGTCAGTCAGTCAGTCAGTTTAGGAAAGACTTTAGAAAGTTGTTGGAAAATAAGTCCTGGGAAGAGAATTATAAGGCATTTTGTGAAGAATATAGCAACCGCCGGAATTCAGACGGTTGCTTTTTATACAAAATTCATGCAGGAAATTCTTGAGTTTTGGTTGAAAGAATACGGTGGAGCCAAAAGTGGCTCGACCTCAAAACAAACATTTTATGAGCTTACAAAGGGTGTTATGAATGAATTCAAAGGTATTTACATACATCCTGACCTCGTTCATTTTGTTGCTAAATTCAGTAAAAATAATGTTTAGGTGAAGTGGTGAGATCTCACCCGTTTTTTCACCTCTTTTCTCACCTCATGAATTTTCATGATTTCATCGTAAATGTTTTGTCAAGACTTCTTCGTAAATGATTTGTCATGATTTCATCGTAAATGTTTTGTCAAACATGAACGTATATGTTTTGTCAAGACTTCTTCGTAAATGTTTTGTCAAGACTTCTTCATCGTAATGAGCGTAAATCAGACAAAAATATATTTTAGGTGAAGTGGTGAGATCTCACCTGTTTTTTCACCTCATGAATTTTCATGAATTTCCTTAAGATAGAAAAAATAAAGTTAGTTTTATTTTATTTATTCTTCATTTTTTTGTATTTGACGAGAATGTCGGGTAGATGGTTAGATCTAACACATTTTCTAACACGTTTTCTACCCTCTTGAATTTTCATGAATTTTCCCGAAATAAAAAATAAAGTTAGTTTTATTTTTATTTATTTTTTTTATTTTGTATGTAAAGATATGATTTCAACAATAGGTTCTACAACACTTCAAACAACAACAGCACCTAACTCGTTAGTCATGAATCCAACATCTATGTTAGTAGAAATGAAAAGCTTTATTCCTTCTTCATATACTTTTGAAACAAAAATCCAGAAGATAAAGCAAGAACTTTTAACAAGTAATTTAGACTGTAGTGCGAAAGATGAAACAAATGAACAGTATCTTTATGAAATGCAGGACATTATTGACCATTTACCCAAATTGCCTGAAATCCAACAGCAAAAACTAACTATTCCTGAATTCGACGAAATAGAAGTGAAACCAACTGACTCAGTAGAAATAAAGAAATTCATACGTAAAGTAAATTATGAATTCCTTGGTTTTCATTGCAACCATAAAGTTATGGACAAAGATTGCGACATGGTATATAAGAATGTTTCTGACATATATAAATCTGAAGAATTTAAGACCTACGACAACTTTGTTTCGTTAGTTGCAAAATGTGTTTGGGAAATAAGAGATAAAGATAGAAGAGGTAAGGTATGGCATGAACAGTTAAAACCAGCAGCTTTTGAGTTAAAGAAAACCATTGACGCCTTAGTTGTTCTAGCTGGTTTTATTTCAATGTATAACGCAAAAATGAACCCGCAATGTTCTAAATGTAAAGCAGCAATGAGGAAATATAACTACTCAGTCAAAGAGATAGAACGTATGAGAAACGACTATGCAGACTTAAAGAAAGAAGCAGAGAAGCCGGTAGAAAATAAAATAGACATGTTAGAATTTCTGAACAAAAACTATCCAACTGCTGACGATTTCCTTCTATCTGACGTCAAGAAGAAGTATAAAGAAACTTTCGGTATCGTTAAAACATTCGATGTACTAAAAGAAGAAATAGAAGCTACGAAACTGTTTAAGATTTCAAATATACATCGTACAATTCATGTAAAACGCTTGTGAAAAAACAGGTGAGAAAACGGGTGAAAAAACGGGTGAGATCTCACCACTTCACCTAAAATATATTTTTGTCTGATTTACGCTCATTACGAAGAAGTCTTGACAAAACATTTACGAAGAAGTCTTGACAAAACATGTACGAAGAAGTCTTGACAAAACATTTACGTTCATGTTTGACAAAACATTTACGAAGAAGTCTTGACAAAACATGTACGAAGAAGTCTTGACAAAACATGTACGATGAAATCATGAAAATTCATGAGGTGAGAAAAGAGGTGAGAAAACAGGTGAGATCTAACCTTCTACCCTAAACATTATTTTTGCTGAATTCAGCAACAAAATTCTGAGTAAAATAATTTTTAGGGCATATGCTTGCTTCCCTCGGAAAACCGAGAGAAGAGATTCCGTATGAAAATCGTGAATTTCCTTAAGATAGAAAAAATAAAGTTAGTTTTATTTTTATTTATTTTTTTTTATTTTGTATGTAAAGACAGAAATGTCAAACAATGAGTTTGAAACAGTTAGAAAGATAGACAATGACACCAAAGTGGTTAGAATAGGTGATTTAAACGTAAGATACTCAAAGAAATACAACAAATATTCTTTGTCAGACATTTTATCTCCATCTGGAAAGAGACGAAGGACTGGGTTAGAATTGCTTCTACTCAGAAAATTTTGACAAGAAATCCTGAGCTTATGATATCAGTAGCATTTCATGGAACAAGAGCATATCTTATAGACAAAAGTCTTATACCAATAGTTTTGTTATGGTTAGACCCAGTTGTTGGATATAACTTCATAACATTATGGTTCATTCGATACGGAACGTTGCAGTGAAGGCTTACTTTACATCGTTCAGAAACCGAAGGACTTCAATACAAAGAGATATAAGATAGGAAGACAATATAATATAACTCAAAGATATGACAGTACAGTCAATAGAGTCAAGGTTGTGTTTGTTAATGATATGAGAGCTGCAGAAACAGAACTACTTGAAAAGTTTGAGAAAATGTATGGTGCTCCCACGAAAGGTAAAGAAACGTTTGAAGTAGATGAGATAGATAAAGCTATAAAATTATTTGACGAAGTTGCTGAAAAATACATGTAAAGCGTTTATTTTTGGTCTTTTGTGAAAGTCAGAAAATAACGCTAATTTTTTTCTAACAAATTTTTTTATTTTGTATGTAAAGACAGATATGTCAACAACAGAGAACACAACAACAGTTATAGTCCATGAAGCTATAAATGAAGAATATGAGTGGGTTCAGTTTAACAAACAACTCCGTCTCATTCGTTCGGTCAAAGACGATATGTACCAAATGCAAAGTATTTTGACAGCATGTTTTGCACCCGACAATAAGAAACCACAAGACTGGTTTAGGAACCAAAGCACACAAGAACTTTTGAGCGAAGCACAGCGAGACATACTTTTTTCTGAAAACAGTGAAGAACAGCGAGTAAGTAAAAAACCGCAGTCGCCAAAACTCTATGAAAACAGTGAAGAACAGCGAGTAGTTAAAAAACCCCAGTCGCCAAAACTCTATGAAAATCGTGAAAAATTGCCAAACGGTTTGAGAGGATATTATGTACATAGACTTCTTGTAAATGCTGTTGCAATGTGGGCTTCAGCTCGTTATGCTTGGTATATTTACAGACTTCTTGACGAAATTCATAGACAAGAACGTGAAGAGATGGAAAACAAGCTTGAAGCAAAAGACAAAAGCATTCAGAAAAGAATACCACGTTCGGTACCAAAAGGAAAGGAAAAGAACTATAAGTATATGATTTATACTGAAGAGATGGAAAATGAAGAAGACAGAGATATGGTTATGTTGCATTTAGTCAGAAGAAACAACAAAAGCTTTTACGACTTAGCTAAGATTTACAAATCTGACAAAAATTGGTTCTATCGCGAAAACTTACCGATTTCAATGACCCCAAATGAAGATGTGAAACAAATAGTTCAAGATACGTTACCTCAAACACACTATGATATGAAAGGTTGTACAATACTTACCTTCAAAGAAGACTTACCGCTACTGAAAGAAAAAATAACAGAGTATTTTGACAACTTCAAACAAGCAGAGTAAATGAACTCTTTATTTTTCAAGCTTGACTTTTTACAATTTGAACTTTGTTTGCGTAGATATGAATTCTGAAAGAAGTATGAGGGTCTTGTATGACTTTGTACTTCTCCCATAGTTCATGTCTGTCAAACTTACCTGCCATGGACTCTTTCATAAGTTCCAT